TTGATGCGGAGATGGAAACATAGGCCTTGAAGCGAACGTGCCGGAATTTGAGAGTTGATCCCATATCTCCTGTTGCCTCGTCGCGAAGTCATCCCATGGAACGATTCGTCGAGGGAAAATCCGGCCTGTCGGATTGGTCGTATCGCCTTGCGTAGTCAAGGTGCGATCGGTCACCACCTCAATAGCGAGGCTGAGCGAGTGACAAGATGCGAGATAATATGGAAGGGTCTGTGGTCGTGCCGCCTTCGCGAGTTCTTCAGCCTGCTCGCGTCGGCGCTGTTCTTCGTTGCGAAGTTGCCGCGCTTCCAGAAGCTGTTGTCGTAGTTTTGCGAGTTCATCTTCCATTGTGATCCGACATATGTGTGGCACAAACCAAGCGATCAGTAAATTCGACCCTTGAGTCTCGACAATCTGGATTGTTTGGATATGTTTCGTCACGTTTGGTTTATGTCGCCCCGACAACTATCGTACCCCAAATTCAGAGTCACGTGAAAGAGTCACAGCAAGCTGACTAAATCTGTCCCTTACGTCGGCTCCCAATAGGCTCACTGGTACGTACCCGTGAAAATGACCAAGCAAACTGGCGGCACGGATTGACAAATGCGTCTCGCGTCAGTCTACACGTTTCTCTACACCGCCGTAGGGAGCGGATGCACCGTCTTCAGCCATTGCCTGGACTTGCGAATGGTCTGGCGAAAACTCCTATAACCTGTACAGTAGTGGCATGATGTAGATGGACGAACTCAGATTATTCGAGAAGTATCATCTCCGAAGCGGCACCAGACAACCCTATCGCATCCCCCGTCATGAATCCCAGGATGATGCATTCACCAACAAGGAGGTATCGGCCTTCCGAAGATGGCCGGATGGCGTACGGAAGCTCCATTCCGTCGAAAATACAGATGAAGTCTCCCTCCTCAGCCACCGGCGTCAGCCAGCCTAGCCTTCCGCTCTGCGTACTGCCAAACCGCCGGTGCAGCTTTTCTAGTATCATGCTCTCGAGGAGATGGCTCGATTCAAGGCCCATGCTTGTCATCACGGCGGATAACCACCTACTATGGTTGCTTTCGTGGGCCATAGCTTTGTAAAGCTGCATTTGAGCAGCAAACTCTGTCCTGACCACTGCCAAACCCTGAGGAACTTCATTGTTGATGAAAGAATCACCCAGCAATGCGTTCTGTAAAGCTCCCTCGACGTTAGTCGCGCCCGAGGCCTTTGCAATAGACAAACATTCTTCAAGCCATTCCCATCTCCGCCTTTGCATCGCCTGAATATTCTTCCGAAAGGGTTGCAGATCCCTATTGAATAATTTTTCGACAATACGAGCGTCGCCGAGACTTCTGTTGTCCGATCCGAGAAAGCGAACCCTGTCGATGATGCAGCCCCGTATCCCTAGGATATCACCGCCATCGTGTAACACCGTTTGCAGCATCGTGTCCCCAGATGCGTTATGATCTTTGTACTGCTGTACAGAGAACTGGGTGACCAAGGTGCCCCCGTCCCTATTGCTCACCACGCTTTGAATATTTGGCACCCAAGAACGTATCCGACACTTTAACGGAGTAAAGCAAACGAGAGACCAAAGCAACTTGAGACTCATGCTATCGGCGACGCAAATAGACGCGAACTGTCGACAAATCTTCTCCATTGGGCTTCTGTAGTCGATCAGATCGAAGCGGTCGGCATCGGATGCGATACCTATCATCGCGAAAATGTGATCACGGGGATCAGCGCATCTGAATTCCAGCGTCCTCACGATAAGAAACGGCAGAAGTTGCTTCTCCGTACCCTCTATGCGCGTGAGAAGTGAAGCTCGCAGCAGAGATAATCCCAACACCTTTCCACCGGCCTCGAGAGGATTGGGGCAGGTTTGTATGAACTCCTCCGTTGTTTTCGGGCACCACTCGACGAAGCTGATTCAGCGAACCAGCGTAGTCCATGGGAGATATAATCTGCCGACCATTAACTTTGGCCTTTGCGATTTCACCAGCTCTTGAATGATCCACTTCCGTGTGAACTATTGACGGTTAAGCAGAGCCCAGATATGTCGAAACGCAGCAGTTCGGTGCCTGCCGAACGCCGCCTGCAACGGCCCCTCAGCCCGACTTTTGGTAATCAAGTCTGGGCCAGAATCCGGCATGCCCCAAGCCATGGCGGACCTGCGTAGCCAGCCAAAGGCCATCTTGACGTCGCCCGATTCCTCGTCAAGCCAGATAACTGTAGCGAACGCAGCGGCGTATATGTCGCTCATCATCCTGACCTGCTGGCTGCGCTCCGAGATATCATGTTGGTTATGTCCTCGGTGCCCCTTCAAAGTGGTTCAGACCTTAGGATCACGAGTTAGCATCTTGTCGCGTTGAAGACACAGGACAGAGATTTAAGAGGCAGTTGTGTATATCTATCTGTGCGTCAACACTAGATACTCTGTGTGATCTAGACTAGGCCTAGCCTTGTGTCCCTTTAGCCATCCGTCTACGCTTTACCTTCTTTGATCGTCTTTGCTCGACCTGGCCTGATGTCCTCAGCGAAACGCCATGAAGAGTCTGCACATGCCGTCTGAACGCATCTAGTGTCGCGAAATTCGGGTCATCCTGGCATTGAGGATGGTTGCACCGAATGAGATTGCCACGTTGTACAGTACGCTCTCGTTCTACCAGATGCTGGTCGTCAAAGTGGTCATTTCTGACCGCTGGCCGGCAGTACTTGAACGTCCGTTCTGCTAGTGAAAGTCTGCAATCCCCAACACAATCAGGGCACTGATTCGGATCAAGGAGTAGTGGGAAGGGCTTGGGTTGGGGAGTCTCTTCGATGGTTGGCTTGGGTTGAGGATGGGTACGGATGCGGTCTCGTTTAACTATCTCTCTCTTATTACAAAGTGTAACCATTAGATCGATAGCCTCAATCCAAAGCTCTATGAGTTTATCGTGAGAGCAGTCGGCTGGTTAGTGGTAGAGGATGTGGGCTAGTCTGGTGCGCTCGGGGATCTGGAGGTTAATGTCCGGTTTAGTATACTCCTCGTTTTTTTCACCGTTCGCTTACCTCTCGATATCCCATATTAAGCAGTTATAAAAATAATATTTAAGATACTCTTTTATAATACTCTTATCGCATTAATCCCGCTTCGTACATATCTCCTCGGTTAGCCTGTAGATTTTAGCTTCGTTCTCTTTACCTTATACTTAGTATTAACTACCCTTTAACTCCTATTACTATTACTCTAGCTTTATAATTTCCAGATCGGGAAGCAAGTTCTCCTAGACCTCCTTAGGGACTATATCTCTTTTTACTTAGGGATTGCGCGTAAGGCTAATATACGCAAATACTTTATATATTTACTCCTCGGTTTCCTCTTCTAAGAAAGTATTCTAGAGATTAAACTAGACGTTCTTATTAAAGTATATACTTTAAAACGTAGTAAACTTAAGATTGTAGTGTATTATCTAGTCGCATACGGCATTAGACGTATTCCCTAGAGTTAAAGCTTTAAGTATCTAACGTCCTTATAAATACTATTTACCTTAACTTACTATTTACTATATTTACCGCCCCTCTTTAGGCGAACTATAGTATCTAGGCCTTTTCGAAACCTATATTAAGGCTCTATCGGCCTATATTATCTCGTAATTTAGAATAGCTTATAGCCTCGTTAATAGCTAACGCACTACTGCTGAACTTTCGAAAGATCGGAACCTTAAGCATTAACTACTTCTACCGTAAAGCCGTAGACTAGACTAGACCCCTGACCTCTACTCTTAGTACCTGGGTTACATCTGTCAGGCTTGCTACGTCAAAAGCCTAGTTATGGAGCGCTAGAGCGATGATGGTGCTAACGGCATAGAAGATGAGCCTTCTTGTAGGCATAAAGAAGAAGACAGTCCTGTCCATAGTCAACATGGAAAGCACCAAAAGCGATTGGAGCCGCGGCGCTACGCATACTCACGGTCTTGGCTTGTTGTCAGCTCCTTTGTGGTGGATGAACTTAACAGCCATTGCCGGTACGGCTCGTCCCGTCACTGGATGGCGAACAATCATCATAAGTATGTCCTCATAGCACAAGGCTTTCGGACGTCCCCGCCCGGCTGTTTCCTGTATCAGCAATCTGTCGAGGAGAAGGGAGTCTTTGTCTTGTGATGGTTGGTCATCATAATCCACGTTCTCTGCGTCTTTGCCACACTCAACATCAAGGGACTTGACGCCTTGGAGCTTGAAAATCTCGTCCGTGCTTCCGTCTTTGGGTTTTTTCCTTTCGACATGCGCGACCTCAGCGGGCCGGGCGCCAGTGTAGCAGAGGAGCTGGTAGCAACCAGCCAGCTGAGTGCGCTGCCGTTCTGAGAACAGATGTTCAGCGGTTGTGGCAATGAGGGTCCCGCCGGCCATTCAGCTGAGTTGTACCCTATCTGTTTGCATACCGCATTCATGAAGTAGGTCAACCCGGATAAGCTGAAGCGGTGGATGACCACTAATGCGTCCAAGTCCTTGTGTTCTCAGATCACTGTGCAGTCAACAATGCTTCGACGCTCCTACCTCAGGCGGCTGGGACCGGGTCTTCCTCTATCCAGCTCACAACTGCTATTGTGGATGGTATGCTGGACGTGGTAGTTGTTTGTTGAAGCCAGTAGAGCACAGCATACCGAGCGGCTATTGCGCGGAGAGCACGCATCTCGAAACCGGACACACGAATGGATACTTGACAGATGCTGCTGACTCTGCCCATGCTGTAGCAGACGAGCCGCTCCACCCGTGAGTCTACGGCTTTGATGGTCAGCCTATCCCGCAACAGGAATTTGATCTGGAAAACGGCGGCGATTGGGGTGTAGCTGGGGAGAGTCTTGGGCCATCATCGACCTTTCCCGGGCAGATAACCGCCTTAAACGGTTGAGAGGCTTCATCTTGCGCTTTGTCCACGTACGGTTCTGCGCCATACTGTATCATATAGGCGGTGGTATCTGAATTTGGAATAAGACTACAATTAACGGCCAGATATTTTGAAGAGCCGCGATCCAGAAATCCCTTCCCTTCCATGTCAAAGCGATTCTCTGAATTCGCAAGTAGTTTCCAAACTCAATATCCCGCACGAACCAGGAATAGTATCAACACTCTGCGAAACGTCTTCCACGTGCATCCTCTGGCGAATTTCACTCCGTTTATAGACCTTGTTCTTGTTTTCGTTCGTCTTGACTAGACACAAGCCATTGTAATCCACTTCCTATGTCCATCCGTGCGCGCCACGCCCCGCCACAACGTGACCTCGGTGTTTACACTAATGCTCCTGTCTTCTATCCCGCGCTCGCAGCCGTGTTCCCATCCTCATCATCAACTCAGAACCTCTCCAACATGCTTCTGATCAAAGAACGACCGGCCGCCGTGCCGTCCAAGTCCACGCGTCGGACAAACTGAAGAGGTTCCACACCGGGCTGACTGGCTTCGCTGGAGTCTTCGCATTCTGCCCTTTCGTCCACGTCGATGATGGAGCATGTATCGAGGGTGACTTCTGCTCTGGTAGTTTCCGTGGGACGCCGTGTTTGGCGTTTCTCGTTACGGAATGCGGCGTGTGAAGCCGGGCGAGCCTCCACCGAAGATTGATGAGACAAAGGTCGGTTGCTGTTGATGACGTGGTGTTGAAATTGCCTCGATGGTGACTTCGAAACCGGCGCATGGCGGAACGTCTTTAAGGGGCCGGATGTGAGAGGCGCTGGCCGAGGCCTCTCCGTGTGGGTCGACATGGAAGAAACCCATTCACTCACGACATCGAAAGAATGCAAAGTCTCTGGGGACATTATGGTTGGCTGGCAACGCCTTGGAAGTGAAAATGCTGTTGTTAGACAGTATCTACATGGAGCACTGGAACACCAATGTCTAGCTCATATCTACAGCTCTCCTATTGGGAGCTCTCGTCGGAGCCGTTGCTGGATCAGTGGATCGTTCCATCGTCCAGAAGCTGCTCTCCTGTTAGGTGTGTGTGTAAAAGAGAGCTCTTCTGGATTTGCTCGTTCGGCCACCTTTGGCCATGTCAGAGCCAGATCGGCAACCCCAGAAACACAAAAGACAATGCACCATATCTGGACGCTCCGCATGACGGCACAAGTGGATCGATGGCCTAAAGCGAGGAAGGCTTGCTCTGTCTCCGACCTAGATCTCTGCCGTTGAGACTACATCGGTCGGCCGCAAATCAACAAGTGGCGCGACTCGGCCCGCTTTTCGGCGACTTCGTCCGTTCCACTCGTTTCGTTCGCAGCGACTCTGAAGGCGCGGCGCGCAACGGCAAGTCTCATCATGCTCGGCCATCAACCAGCCGTAATTGGAGAGGTCCTCTTCGCTTTCCCACGTCGGACACGCGTAGCCGTCCCATTTGACGGCGTACAAATTGGCGCCGTCATCGGTCTCGTAGCAGCCCACGATGCACTGGAGACGGGACGCCCAAGCAGCGTTGCTTGCTCGGGGTCGCTCGACGCATTCTTGCCATACATTGGTGCACTCTCCGTCTTCAAAGACCCACAAAGTTTGACGATCGTCCAGCCAGTCCCACTCGAGGGTATCACGGATGCCCACGACCACACCGTAGAACATGCACGCGCCACCCGTGGCGGTGCAGATGACTTCAACTACCTCGAGGCACGAAGACCAGGCTGCGTGGATCATCGAGCCCCGCCGTACTCCCATGTTGACGCGGATATGTTTTGAGATGCGCAGTGCTTTAAGCATACAGTGGTCTTCTTGGGGGAGTGAATCTACTGGAAGATGATGACGAGAAGTCGGGTCGTAAATGGCGGCCCTCGGCAGGTACCCCGAACTTATATAGGTGCGTAGTTAGATGCATGTCTTTTGGTATCACAGAGCCGCACTCGCATGCTTCCACGTCTCGGAGTCAAACATGTCTGCTCTTTTCGCCGATGAACGCCCTGTTTCGGGCCCCAGACCCGGACCACTGACAACACCATAGCTCCAAGTGGCGGGACCCAAATACAATACTGCGTCCTTGTGGTCTATGTAGCTTTGAGTACATAGAAGTTGGAAGAACAGACTCTTCATTGCAGGAAAGCCAACTTGGCTGGTTTCTGTTGGCGCGATTTCCAACCAATGCGACCTTCGCAACGAGCGGACATACCCCCCCCCCCCCCCGGTCCTGTCCCTACTCTCTCTATGACCATTTTGCAAAAAGGTCTTCAGGAGCTCCGCCATATCTGTCCTGAGACGAACACGCGTCTCTAGCACCGCCTTCACGTTGCCGTCAATGTCTACAGAGTTGGCCACAGGCCATTTGGTCTTTGCGATCTCTGCATCAGTACAGCTACGGCGGAACCTGACACGGTTACGCCACGTCCATCGTCGGCTTCTTATCCAAGGCCATTGTACCCTCTGCGTGCATCTGGCGTGTTTGGCGCCGTGCAGTCAGTATTTGGGCGTGTCGTGGACGTGTCGTCGGACGTCACGGGGTCGGCGCTGGCTTTGCTGTGTTAGCAGATGCTGTTGATGATACGTACGCTACGGTCGAACTCACATATATCGACACGAGCCTTTGCAAGGCCATGTTCATTCTTTGCGGATCGGATAGCCTCCTCTCTTGTGTTGAGTTCATATTCATCGAGGAATGAATCCTCAAAGAGCTGTGCTGTCAAGTGATCCAAAGGAGGGACGACCAGATCGAGCATGGATCCCATATCGTCCAAGTCAGTCGGGCAGACTGTGGTCGTGCACTTGAAAACGATGAAACCGACATGGACGTCGGCTCATCAAAGATGCAGGACTGTAGAACTTATACACTTGCGCAGCCACAGAACACTTGATATCTAATCGGGATAAATACTATCCGAGGCAGTAAACTCCCTCCTAAGCCATGCGCCGTGTCCCTCCATCAGGGAGTCATTTCACGTCTACCAAATGCAGCTATTTACCTGAACACTGGCATCGCCGACCAGGCCTCGCCGACAACATGCCGCGAAGGACTAGTTCGTCAGAAATTATCACCATAATTCTATACCTTCCGCTCTTGACACCACATCTATTTTACTAACAGCTCCACATTCCTCCCCTGACCATCTCGGCCTACTATACTAACACCATCTCCGCGGGGTGCTCTTTCTTTCTGATCGGAAAACTCCTGCAATCACCGGCCCGGGCCGGCTCTCCTTCGCTTTCCGCAGCATGTTCAAGACGCCCGTCTTCGTCAGACTGACACCGTCTTTCAGCATCTCCGTAACGAGTTGCACAATCACCCTCGGCAACTCTTATAAAAACCGTGATGCGGCAGCGTTACCACTCCAGGACGCTACCTAGAAATAGTACGAATATAGCACGTGGAATATCCTCAACAACTTCGGTTCCCGCGTCAACAGGCCGATCACACTCCGGTGGTCTTGTGCGTCCGCAAGCCGCGCCAGCTTATCGATGATGTTACGCAACACTACATCGTCCATCCTAGCACCATGCTGCAGTAAGACCGATGCCATTACGGGGTTGCCGTGGTATGTAGAAAGCGTCTAATCAAAACTCGTCGCGCCATACAAGTCGCGCTTATCGATCTCTAAGAGTTCCGAAGAGAGCAACATCTCGGCCTCCTAGCGACGTTACGTTCGTACGAGTTTCAGTAAGAGAGGCCCCGTCTAATTACTGCGGGCTAATATACACACCGTCGCATTTAGGTCAGCACCCGACTTAATAAGGAGATCGATGAGGTATTCTTTTGCCGCGGCCATCCTGCCGGCCGTCTCTCTGACCCCGGCCAGGAGGGCCAGCTCAAGCGGGTCCTGCTTAAAGATGCGGAGCGCCGGGTCGGCCCCCTTAATCAAGGTATCTAGCTCGCCCGTGGCATCCGCTCCGGCCTTCAACATTACCAGGGCAGCAGCGAATATGCTATCCTCGTACGCCATACTGAGGGCCGTTATACACTATATATTAATCGTTGTGGGCTGGTTTATATCCACGCCGAACCGCGCTAAGTAACCTATAATTATATCCGGCAATAGTAATAATAAGGAGTAAATTAGTAGTATATCCCTATTATTATTAGTCTCGTTCACTTCCATCCCTTTCTTATTAATAAGGTACGTAATTACTTCGGTAAGCCCGGTGGCGGCGGCTTGGTAGAGAGCGTTAATGCTAAACTCAAAAGACTTAAGCCGTGCGCCGCGCCGAAAGAGAACTATAGACGTCCTAGCGTCTCCGCCTAGTAAAAATAGGAAGACGGGAGTACGTAGCCTATAGTCCAGGGCCCCGTTAATATTAGTACCGTGGTTAAGGAGAAACAAGATAATGTTAGGATAACCTTTTAAAGCGGCTAAATAGAGGGCCGTAACGAGGAAAGGGCTATGCTAATACGTCTCGGTTATATATATAGTAGCCGGTCTATTATAATTAGCGCCGGCTCGGTAGGTATGCCGGAGCGTAGCGAGGCCCATCCGCATATTTATATAATTAATAATAGTAGTAAAAATGGCAGAGTTTTGCCCTAATTTAATATCGCTTTGGTAAAACTTAGGATTAAAGAACGAATACCAAGCGCGCGAGCATTATGTAAACTTGGACTAAATATGGGGTTCGCTGTGATTAAAGATGTACCACGCCACGTCTAGGGAGATCGGCTCTGCAGAGACAGGTTTTATACCGAGTGATGTTAGTGGTTTTGAGCGAGACGACGTGGCCTACGATGGACAGCGCGGCATCGCAAAACCATGAGGCAATCACCCAATTAGACTCATCGGCTTCATATCCAATGCAAGAATCGATATCCTGTTCCAAGGGACAGCTCTTTGCGCCGGAACTGTCCCATTCGTACACTACAGGCCCGTGGTTGATACTCTGATCCAAGAACGTTCTCAACTTCTGCTACCTAGGCGCTATAATGCTTTCTGCCTCTGGCTCATCCAGGCGCAAGTCAAAGATGACTTCACAAGACCAAGATATCAAGCTATTCGGAAGAGCTCTTATGGCTACGGCAGGGGTTGGCTTGGAAATCGGACGTTCAGGTGGTTTCTGCGTTTGCTTTGGACGCTGAACCTGTCCTGGTCTATGGTCAGTAGTCATCAGCTCCAAGGTCGATGGAAGCTGTAAGCATCGCCCGTAACCTCGAGTATCTTCAGTATCCGAGAGACGCAACTGACTTTTCAAAAATGAGAATCCATCGCTATAGAAACATACTTGCGCACACTGTCACATCACCTACCGGCGAACTCCACGCCAGGCTTCTCCAAACAGCCGGCGTTGACGCCCGGGAACCGGAGGTGGATATTCTCAACAACGTGATCAGAGGCCTTCCCGTGTGTACAGGAACGTGTCTTCTTCGTGAGGTCCATTTCTTGCTCGGTTGGAAAGCCATTGCCATTTTGTTGTGGCAGGTCGTTTTTGGTGACTGGGATAAGAACCCCCTGTCACGACAAGGATATCACTTGCAGGCCAGGGACCCTCTTCAACATCCGTTTTAGTCACCATGGAGCGTCAATTCTGGCCAGAATTTCTAGCCACGCGCCATCTGCCTGCCTGGACGCTCTTTCTATGGACTAGACTGAAGCTGACCCTTATGGACCGCCACTCAAACAACGTCCATATCCAGTTTCAGCCCTTTAGCAGCCGGGGTATCAATTTTGGAGTGCGGCCGAATTGGTTTCCAGCTGTGCAATGACGATGTTTTTTCCTGATCCAGTTTGCTTGCTGGCCTAAGACCCTCCGCGCCCGAGAGACAGACACGCTCGAAAGAGATCCTTCCGAGTGATGGGGCGTTGCGTTACAGCAGATTCATTCGCCTAGCACACTCGTAACACGTGGGTCAAACATCCCGCAGTAAACATCCGGTGTAACGGAATTATCTACAACTATCATACATCCAGAGCTACATTTAGTATTCTCACTTTTAAGAAATACCTCGTTAAGTAAAGCGCCTTTGAGAGGGTACTTTCCATAGATTCATATGTCTACCTTTCTAAGCTACAACTCTAATAAGGAGAGTAATAATACTAAATAAGAAAAGGGCCTTTTATAAAACGATCCGTATTAGGAAATAAGCTCTGCGCTTAGAATAACGTCCTTAGATATTGTAGCTAAAATCAAGACCGCTTACTCTATAGCGGCTTAGTATTAATTAAGTAAGAGGAACGAGATAACGTTTTTGTATAAAGTAGTATACGTTTATAAAAAAGTTTCTAGGGAACGGTTGCTTTATTTTAAGATAGCTAGCCGCAATAGTATAATTATTATTAATTCTTTTAACTAGAATTCGAATGGCCTTAGCGCAACGTCTTCTAAGTACGGAATCCCCAAACTAGACTCGCCCACTATATGAGGGTGTTGTAGCCGTTATATGTATAACACCGGATGTTATTATAAAACATACGCATAGAGGTGTCTCATGTGTTCAATACAGCACACGCTCACCGGATGAGAATTTCTACTTGTAATCTGTGGCGGATTTATTAATAAGACATGATTTTCTAGTTATTTGATTCATATCCAGGTGCCAGCACTAGATTATGCGCCATCCTATGTGCCTTCCGCTCATTCGTGCTGGTTTGTGGCTGTCTTCACGCACTACATTGTCGAATTGTATTCTTACACTTTACCGTATAGTATATTTGGCCCTTGGGCAAGATCGTTTTTTCAAGACGACCGGGGCGAGAAGCATGAGCGGCCAGATATGAATCTAGTTAGCAATATCAGCAGCCGCATACAGTTGTGAGCATGTGTTGCTCCTCCTCTGCACACACGCTCTTCTGCACACACGCTCTTCTGCACACACGCTCGATGTTTCTAAAGCCAAAAGTCGCATACCTACCCGTTCAACAGCGAAGCGCCGATCCCTGTCTGGTACATGCCTCCCGTCCTGAGCCAACGGTTCTGGCTTCAAGGTCAACCTCCCGAATAGCTGTCGGAACTCGGAAGTCAGGCTTGCCTGCGTCCAAATTTCCCATAAGCAGATGGAATGAAGGCCAATCTGGCTGCTCTCGCGAGATAGCTGTGACAAAAGCCCAGGACACTAACGACCGCAGAATAGGCTTAAAGGTGACTCCACTGCCGCATATGCCTCGTACATTCGTGTGGTATGTTTGTTTGAAAAGGGATGCATTGGGAAGAGCAAAACGACAACTTACTTGTCATTACATGGTATAGTACGGTACTGTACTGTACAAACTGTACCGGAAACCTTAATCTTACTGCCGCAGCACGATAGAGTCGCTGCTTCACTCGCGTGCTTAGAACTTGGCCGGCGCCTATCATAGTCCGTATTATCTAACAAACCATTATAGCTTCTCGTTAGCAGCTACCAAAGAAAAGGGATAGAACTAACGAGAACTATAATAAAGTAGTTAAAAATATTATATAGCGTTATAAATAAATACGACAATAATATAGAGCCGACGTATATATTTAAATCCGCTTTAAAAATAAGCACTATAAATATACGTCTTCCTCTAAGTACTATTTTCCTAAATCTAAAGCCGAGTTAGTATATTTAATTAAACTACCATCCTCCGAGGCTATCCCCTAAGCTAATATTTAAAAAAAAGAAGTCTACCTAGTTCTAGTAGGGAGGTCGCCACTAGACTATATAAAAAAAAAATCTCGTAGTAAAGTTTAAGGTAAAAGTAGAGTGCGCAGCTGTTAAGTACTATAATGCAGCTATCCGGCGGAGGAATGTAGTTGTAATGATGCTATCTTACTTCTAGACCTATCGTCATAATGGACTGATCTCTGGTTTGTTGCTATCCTCGCGTCTTTTAGTTCTTCTCTTCAGAAGACCGGTGGCCAGAATCACTTGCTGCACTTCAAAATAACTGCTCTACTTGTGTACTTGCTGTTACGTTGTCGTAGTCCTTGGAGTCAACAGTGCCGCCTCCCCTCTCGCGACCTGTTTGTTATCTCGCTATGTGCTGTATATCGACCTCCCCTCAATCTCGTCCCCGCTGACCAAATTGCTGGTCGTCTTCCTCAGCTAAACAGTGGAGTGCAAGACCTTGATGTATGTAGACCCAGCACTGGGCCCGACCACAGGCAAAATCCACCCATGGGGAACTCTCACTGCATCGTGCCACTCGCAACAAGGTGGCCCCCTTCTCCCGATTGATGATTGGCCGTGACGTACCAGCACTTAATCAGCTTTGATAGCTTCATCTGAGGTTGTCGGATTTCTAGTCTTGCGGTCTTCCAACATCATGAAGTCACGAAGCAATCTCTCCATTCACTCGACACGAGAAAAGCGCCGACGGATGTACGTAGGCGAAACGGCAGTGTTATTGTTGCGTGAGATCGGCGAGACATGTGGCTCGTGCGTCAATAGACCTCTACACGGCCTTGCTGCAAGGCGCACGTGGCTCATACGAATGTCGCTTCTTTTCCTTGGACGCTTTCTACCAAATGGGTTGGTCGCTCAGCGACGTAGCTA